GAACAAAAAAAAAAAAAAAAAAATTTGCACATGTGGGGCATGGTGGGGCATGCCTGTAATCCCAGCACTCAGGAGGCTGAGGCAGGAGGATTGCTGCAAGTTTGAGACCAGCCTGGGCTACATAGTGAGTTCTAGGTCAGTCTCAACTACATAGTGAGACCCTGTCTCAACCTAATAAAACAAAACAAAATTTACACAGTACCAAGGAACACAGCAGAAGCAAATCTCTATCTCACCCCTCAGCCTTTGTGTTACTAGATCTTCCCAGAGGCTGCCACTGTGTTTAGTTTCTTGAATTTTCATGCCAAGAGAATCTGTGCATATGAGAATGTAGTTGTCTGTCCATCCCTAAGGTTTTTGTTATTCATTCGGTAGTTCTCTTTACAACTGTATATCTTGCTTGTTAACTGTGTATCAAAGATCATTTTGCAAGATGTGGTGACATGTGGCTGTAATCCCAGCTATTTGGACTGAGTCAAGAAGGATTGCAAGTTCAAGGCCAGCCTGGGCAACTTTACTGAGCCCTTGTCTCAAAATAAAAAAATAAAAAGGGAGCCAGGAGTGGTGGAGTGTGCCTGTCTGTAGTCTAGTACTCTGGGAGGCTGAGGTAGGAAGATTGCAAGTAACAGCCTAGCTTAGGCAACTTGATAAGTTAGTGAGACCTTGTCAAAATTTTAAAAAAGAAAGGCAGCTCAGTGTGAAGGCCCTGAATTCAGTCTCCATATCATAAAGTAAAATAACATATAAAACTGTTAAAATACCTGGGACTGTAGCTCAGTGTTAGAATACTGCCTTAGCATGTGTGAGGCCTTGCGGTCAAGTATTGCAAAAAAATTTTTTTTTCTTTCCTTGCTGTTGATGTTGTTGAGCAACATGTGCCATAGTGTATTTATATTTGTTTTTACCCTTTATAATTATAAGCAACATTGTAATGAATCTTTGTATGTTTTGCAAGTATATGTATAAGATAAATACCTGGAAATGGAATATCAGAACCAAAGGGTATACATGTTCTCAAGTTTGGCAGGCATTGCCAGATTGATTGCCTTCCAGCTAACATTTTTTGGCAGATGAGTAAAGCAGAGACCCAAAGAGGTAGATCTGTGAAGTTTGTCCACAAGTTTCTCGCTCTATGAGCAGCAGTGCAAAAACTACAGAGGCTAGGTCTCCAGGCTTAACCCTCTTTTCTGGCTCCATTGGTGGCTCAGTCCTCTCCAAGCCCCTATTTCACTTTTCTTCTGATCCCAACATCCCACCCTCCCAGCTCTTTGGCCTCCCCTGACAACCCTCTTTAGTAGTTGAATTAATTCGATTCTGAAGTCCTCAGACTTCTTACAGGACTCCAGGGCCACCCATAGGCCTTACAAGGCTGGGACTTTACATCTCAACTTGTTTCCTTTGACAGTGCCGTATGTGAATTTTAGAACAACATTCCTGCCTTTTTATGTATATATATATTTTTTTTCTTGAAATGATGTCTTGCTGTGTTGCCCAGGTTGGCCTCCAACTCCTGGGTTCAAGTGATCTTTCTGCCTCAACCTCCTGAGTAGCTGGGACTTAAAAGTGCACACCACTGTACCTGGCTGCTAATTTTCTTTTTTTTTGGTACTGGGGATCCAATTTGGGACCTTACACTTGCAAAGCAGGTGGTGGAACTACTGAGCTAAATCCCTGATTGGAGCAGAAGTGGGTAGGAGGAAAATGGATCATTCATGTAACTATTCTATTCTTAATAAAAAATTGAAATATGAAGATTTCATTTAATTTAAGCATATAAATTTATTTATTTTATTTATTTATTTTCCAGTACTGGAGATTGAATCCAGGGCTTTTACACTGAACTATATCCCCAGCTCTTTTTATTTTTAAGACAGGGTCTTGTTAAGTCACTAAGTTGCCTAGGCTGGGCTTGAACTCGTGATCCTCCTGCCTCTGCCTCCCAGAGTTCTGGGATTTGAGGTGTGCACCACCATGCTCAGTTTACCAAGCCTTATTTTGAGTAACTATTTAAGGCTTGTAGCAAATGAATGTTCATAAAGAGAATAGATTATTACCCTGTCAATGGCCTTCATTTGTTAGGGACAATGTGGGGGGCATCTGCACACCCTTTCAAGCCTTCCTCAGAAGCCAGGCAGGTCTTTGACCTACCAAGATCATAACACTCCATGAGTTCCCCTTGCTCCTGTCTTTCCCTATCTCCACTAGCCTCTCTATGGTTTTTTGTTTGTTTGTTTGTTCTGCTTTGTTTTTTTGAAACAGTCTTGCTATACATTACCTCAGCTGGTCTTCAAGTTGTGGGCTTAAGTTATCCTCCTGCCTCAGTCTCCTGAGTACCTGGAACTGCACATGTGTGCCACTGTACCCAGCTATTATGGTTTGTTCTTTGGAAACAAAGTGCAGGAAGAATGTTTTCCCAAGACCTGTCACCTTTCACCTGAAACTGAGTAGGCAGTAGTGGAGCTTGTGGGCTTGACATTCATCTGGCCAACCCCTCCCAGAGAACAGGCTGCTGGGCTGTCACCTTCCTGGGCCAGCCTTCTGTGGTGTCCTCCTTGCCCCACTGCCATGCCCTTTTCTCTGTTGCTGTTGCTCTTCCCACTATGACCAGAAAGCACTGGGAAACACTCACTGTGTCATCTTCTGCCTTAAACTTCCTTGATTCCCTATGGCTCCTTCAACATTGCCCAAGCATTCTCACCTGGCCTTCTGGGCCCCATGTGACCTCAGCCCTGCAGCTCCTCAGGCCTTGTCTCTCACTGGGTCCTGCTCTGCCTCCTCCTGTCCCTCCATCTACCTTGTGTTCTGACACTAAATTGCTGACCCTTCAAGGCACTGCCAAAATGCCTATCCCCTGCTGCCTGCTGTCACTCTGTGTCTGTCTGTCTGGGTCTGATGTCTGTTACTGTCTGTACTTATATTCTCAGTGCACCACAGGCTGGGCCCAGTGAGTGCTGCTCAGCCACGGTCCAAGTGCACCAGCTGGCATGTTATTGGAGAGCAGAGGTACATCTCTTTCAATCTGGTCTCACAGAGAAGTGCTGAGAGCGGAGGCACAGTCAGAGAAGTCCTTGGGTCTGGTGACAGAGTCTCACCCATTGGCCTTGAACCCCATCTTGGATTCTCTCCTACCTCCTAGCCCTTTTAATCAAAATCTTTTGGACCAAAAGAATTTGTGGCTACCAACTATGTGAGAGAAAATGTCATCAGTTAAGAGTTGGCTAGCCAGACATTGTGGTGCATGCCTGTAATCCTAGCACTTGGAATGCTGAGGCAGGAGGATTGCTGTGAGTTTGAGGCCAGGCTGAACTACACAGCAAGACCCTATCTAAAAAAAAGAAAAAGTTGGCTAGCCCCTATCAGGGCAGGCAGTGTGCTTCTGGCTAGTTTGATGTCTACTTGGAGTGCTGCTGCTGCTTCCAGGGAGTTGTGCCCAACAGTGTCATCCCTGTGTTCAGTCTCAGATAAGTGGTACCTCCTCTCTGGGCCAGTGGTATCCTGCCTCAGGAGCCAGGCGCAGCAGTCGTGGGGGGCTTGCAGCCACTGCTGGACGTGGGGATACATCAGCCACACACCTGTTTCTTTCTTTGGAAACTCTCCCAAGGTGCAGGGCTGTTCAGATGTGGGGATGACAAAGGGAAAGCCAGGCTGGGGAATCTAAATTCATAGGCTCCCTTCAGAGTAGTTGCCCTGGTGATGGTGGCCCTGGAAAGCCAATGTGCAGGACAAAGATATTTGCTTCCTAGTGGAACCACCCAGCTCAGCTTTATTCACTGGTGACTTTTGACTTCCTACAAAATAGAGGCAAAGATTTGCTCCTTTGGTGATAATCTAAAGAAAGCCTTGCCAGCTTTTGACTTGGCACTTTTGGAGGTAACAAGATTAGAATGACAATTCAGTAGCCTACTGTTTATGATGTTGCATTCCTTGGGGCCACTGACTTATGAAGACAACTTCAATCAACTGCATCAGTTTGGACAATAAACCTTGTAGATGTCAGCTGCAGTAGCCATAGTCTGGAGATGTCAGGGCAAATCAGAGGCTTGTTTGAGGGTAATTATACCATCTACTCTTCAGCAAGCAGCTCTGTGTCAGGTACTGCTTCACTGTTGCTGGTCTGAATGCCACACTAGGGGCCACTCCACTCCCATTTTTCAGATGAGAAAACTTAGGCCTCACAGCTAGGAAGGGCAAAGCCAAGAGCCTAACCTAGATCCATCTCCTTCAAAGCTGGGGCTCTTTTTTTTTTGAGACAGGGTCTCACTTACTCACTAAGTTGCCCAGGTTGAGTTTGAACTTGCAGTCCACCTGCCTTAGTCTCTCAGAGTGCTGTGCTGGTATTGCAGAAGTGTACCACCACACCCAGCTCTTGTGTGGCTTCTTATTTATTAAAGACAGGTTAAGTGACCCAGATGACTCCACTTGAGTCTCTGGGAGAGAACTAAGGTGACTCCATTTAGTTTTGAGATGAGACTACCTGGAGGTGACTTCAAATACTGCTAAGCTTGATCTGCAGGAGGCTTGAGCCTCAGGTAGGCTGAAGGGCAGAGTGGCTATAAGTTGTGGCCCTGTGGAATGGAGGCTGTGGAAGGAGGGCTGAAGGCAGAGCAGGGTGGGCTAGATGGCTTCGGGTGGGCCAGGATTCCACACGATTTACCACATCCGTATTTCTTTTTATTTCAGATGCTTTCAAGTTGGCAAACATTTACTGAGCATCTGTTAAGTACAAGGTATAGTTCTGGGTGTGTGTGGGAGGGATGCAGAGGTGAATGAATTGTGGGACATTTGTTGTTTTTGAAGCTGGTGTAACAGACACATGGAGGGGTGGCAAAGTGATAGTCCCAATGAGAGAAATGAGGGCTAGGGCCCTTGGCTATGCTTGGGATCTCAGGGAAGCTTCTTGGATGACAAGATGCTTACAGTGGGCTTGAAGAGCAAGTAGCATTTTGTTGAGTGAGAAGGTGTTCCAGGAGGATGTGCTGATGTTGGATCTGCCATATGTTTTTTGTACACTCCTAATAGAGCCTCCTGAAACTCGGAGAGTCTAGCTACCAGGGTTTTGTCCCCAGGTCCAAGCCTTCCTACCAGGATCTCAGAGTTTGTCTCTCCAGGGTGCTGTGTGCTTAGGCCTTTTGGGCCCAGAAGCTACTATGGTTGGCTCTCTTCTTTTTGTGAGGACAGGCCCATCCCTTCCTGGCCTCTGTGACTCCTTGGGTACCAGGCCAGCTGTTGGGCTGAAGGAGGCAGGGTGGGTGTTGGGGGTGACTGCCATCTGTGGTCTGGCTCTAATCACATCCTGGCCCTTCTCTGAGCTTGCTCAAGGGAGTCAAGGGACATCAGCCCACCTTTCTGTGTAAATCTGTACAACAGGACCAGATTTACTTAGAGAAACATGGTCATTTCTGTTGCTGGAGGAGACAAAGAGGAACCCCCTACCCCCACCCCTTGTGTGCTGGCTCCTTCCCAGACAAGAAGCCTCAGGCACCCCTTCTGAGACACAGGGGAGAAGTCTGGGGTCTCCAGTCCTAAAAGGATTATGTGTCTGCTGATAGACAGAGTCCAGATCCCAATTCTCAGCACCCTCACTCCCCATTTCCCTTAGCAGAGGATAAGGGGGCCTGTGTGACACTTGTACTTGGACCTTGGGATGGAGGTGACTAATCCTAACAGAATCAGCATGTGTTCTCATCGTTCTGGCTCCAGCATGATATTGTTACCAGACGAGAACATGTCTTATTGAGTTTCACTTTGATGGCTCTGAAGACAGAGCACTTTGAGTAACAGGCAGCCACACTGTGTCCTGAATAAACCCTGGACCCTCCTACCTTGTCCTGGCCAGGCTGGAGCCAGAGCTTGCTCTGGGGCTCTGGGATAGTCTTGGACTATCATCTTCCCTCCACTGCCTGTCTCCACTGGGCTAGGGCCCCAGATCCCCTGCAGAGTAGCTTCCCATCCCAGCCTACTTTTCCTGCTAAAACCTGGCCACGGGATTGGGTCCTGCCCTCTGGGTCTCCCTCAGGCTAATGCTTTCTACTCTTTTTCCCTTTGGAGATGAACATCTGCAACAAGCCCTCCAACAAGACGGCCCCCGAGAAGAGTGTGTGGACAGCACCGGTGCAGGCCAGCGGACCTTCCCCGGAGCAGCAGGGCCAACGGTCCCGCCGGAATGGATGGAGCTGGCCCCCTCACCCACTTCAGATTGTGGCCTGGCTGCTGTACCTCTTCTTCGCGGTGATTGGCTTTGGGGTCCTTGTTCCCCTCCTGCCTCACCACTGGGTGCCTGCTGGCTATGCTGTATCCTTGGGAAAGTGGGCCCATTGTGTAGCAGACTGGAGGCAGTGGATGGATGGAAGGCAGAGGCCTGAAGCTGGGCTTAGGGCCTCAGGGGAGGCAGAGCAGGGCCAGCCCAGTCTTTTCTTCCTGGCTTCCAGCTCCCACCTGACCCCTCTTCTGATAGGGCGAGGGACAGCTATGCAGTGATTTCGATCTTATCAACTGAGATACTGTAGGAGCCATCAGAGAAGAGAGCATTAAAACTTTTAAAGCATCTTCATGCTGACTGTGTCCAGAGCTAAACAAATGGCAAATTAGGGAGGAATTATCCTATTTGTGAAAGAATTTGTCATGATATAATCCTTTTACATAGTAAGTTTCCTGATACATTTAAGATGTGGTTTTATTTACAGACAGATTATTATGGTGTGCCCAGAACTGTTCACAAGTTGACTGATTTTGTAAATCAGACCTTTTTAAGGTAAGGGTGATTGTTACAAGAGGTGGCAGGGTTGCCTTGGGAGCTCCTGGGAACAGTGACAAATGTGGACTTTTAATAAGCTTAATGGTATGACTGCACCAACCCTGGCCATAACCTCCAGGAGCAGAGGATGTGGCTACAAGTTCAGGGCCTTGGGTAAAGCAAGCTTCTCTGTGCCCTGTCAAGAGTTCCTATGAGAGCATCCTATCATGTGCTCTGTGAAGAGGACTTCTAGGCAAAGGAGGACAGAGGCAGGCCTGAGGCAAGGCATAGAGTCAGCAGCTTGCTGTGTTCCCAGGTCATCCCCTCAGGGCTGTGCATGGCCGAGCAGCTTCTCCAGCTCTTTGGTCTCTGCTTCTTCTGTCTAACAGCAAGGGTTCTGTCTGCTTCCAGGGTGGGTGGGTGGGGGCAGAGCACCAGAGGCATAAGCCATTAATGTGAACATGCTCTCTAGGGAGCGGACCCTGGGCTGGTGAGTGACAAGGGCAGGTAATTGAAGGACTTGGAAGATTCTCATTGTCATTCATAGCTGTATCCTTGGGGGCTTCCTAGTTCACTAGAATCTGGGGGTCTGGTCATCAGCTCTGAATGGCAAACTAGACTTTCTCTGAGGAGACAAATAGGCCTTAGGTAATTAAGTGGAATGTGTCATGGGACATTCTTCCTGAGGTCTGGAGTGTATATATCCCTCCTTTGGGATTACATGGACTTTTGCCATCAAGATACCTGGGAAATCACATTAATAACTGTGTGGGTTAGAATCAGCAAATAACAGTAAACAGAAGAAACTGGCATTTATTGAGCACTGATGTGTTCCAGGCACTGTGTCAGCCACTTTACAAGGACTATCTCATTTGATCCTTACAGTAATACTATAAGGAATGCATTTTTCTGTTTTACTCATGGAGGAGCTGGGGCTCAGAGAGGATAAGTGACTTCCTGAGCTACCCAGTGAGGCCAGAAGAGCTGCCCAGGCAGCCTTACCGAGGAAGAGGGGTGCTTTGAAGGTTTGGTCTTCACAGCATTTCACTGTCCATCCTCTTTGGTCCATATAGAAGCTCCTGGAGCTTCCTGTCTGACCAGGGCTATATGATTCTTCCTTCCATCAGTGTCTTCTTTCTGAAGGCTCTCTTAGGGCCCCTGAGGAAGGAGGCAGAATAGGGATATGTGCAAAGTATTCACTGTGGCTGGAACTGGCCTGGACTGGAGGGATGCAAAGATGAGTGGCCAGCAGTCATCTCGGTGAGCACTGAGATGGGTGCTCAGTGACCAGCGGGAGGACAGGCTGGTAGGTTGGACATGGTGTTCCCACCACATGGTAAGTGTGGGGCATGGGCCCAGGCAGCAGACTGAGGGAACAGAAGGAGAACATTTTTACCAGTCTCATTACATGTCCAGAAGGATACCTGTTGCTCACAATTCCCCTCTCCTGTGTGCCCAGCATCCCCACATCTTCTTGGCCCCTCCTCTTTTCTCCATTGCTGATATCCAGTCAGTCCTCAAATCCTCTTGATTTTACTATCTTAATAATTATTGAATTCCCCTCCCTCATCTGCCTCTCTGGCCTAGATGACCATTTAGTTTCCAAGGAATTCTCCCCTGGTGTGCCCTCATCCCAACCACCTGCATCCCTGCCAGCAGAGTGCTCTTTCGAAAAATAACCCTAAAGCTGAATGTGGGGACACATGTCCATAATCGCAGCATGGGGGAGAACTGGAAGTTCAAGGCCAGCCTGGGCTATATTGCAACACCATATCTCGAAAAAACGAACCAACAAGAACAGAAACCAATCTGATATGTTCCACCAGCTCAAGACTATCCAGTGGGCTCTTCCTGACTTAAGGAATGAGGTTGAAGATACTTATATGGTCAAGTCTCTCCAAATTCTGGACTTTGTCCGTCTGCCCAGCTTCCTCTTACATTATTTTCCCTGTTCTCATCTGTTTTGGCAACACTGGTCTCTGCCTAGAAACCTCTTATCTCTCCCTACCCTCAACACCCAGCTGAGTCAGAGGTCAAGAAGAAGAAACCTATGGGTTAATTCAGCCTGCAGAAAATTGAGGGGGCCAAGCATGATGGCACATACCTATAATCCTGGCACTCTAGGAGACTGAGGCAAGGGGATCCCAAATTCAAGCCCAGCTCCAGCAACTTTGCGACTTAGACCCTCTCTCCAAAAAAAAAAGAAAAGAGTACTCGCTTTGGCAGCACATATACAAAAGAAAAGAAAAGATCTGGGGATGAAGCTCAGCATGAATCCTTTGTTCTGAAAGAAAAATTAAGGGGTAATTAGCATAAAACTGCACAGATTCTTCTATGGATATATTTTGAAAATTATTTCACTAACATTTAAACATTGAGAGATTTCATGTAAAAACCTAGATTTCTATTTCCTTTTGAAAAGCAGAATTTGGCAACATGGATCCTTATTCTTGCTTGACAGCTATAATCACATTCCCCCATCCCTCTGATTGGTATCTTACATGTTCCCAGTCACCCCAGTATCCAGTCAGGCCCCTTTCCTCTTTACATTACTTGTCAGGGCGCTGTTATCCATTCCTCTCTGAGACTCGGCTGTGATGATGCTTCCTCGGGGATGCCTTGCAGACCCTTCAGACTGGATGAGGTCACTCAGTTACAAAATCACACACTCCCATGGGCTTTCTTCATTATAATTAACCTGTTATTTGATTAATGTTTCCACTAGTTTGTAGGCTCCTCAGGGTGGGAACCATGTCTGTGTTGCCCTGCCATATCCCCCAGAGCCTAGCACAAAGACTTCAGTAAACAATTGAATGAATGAACTGGGAGGGTAGAGGAAGAAGTGCTGGAGCAGGCAGGAAGGTAAATGTTTGCCCACGTTGATCGAGTGTTTGAGAGACCAGAATGGTGAGATGGAGTAGCTGGAAGTACAGCAGAAATTTGAGAAGGACTTGGTGAATACCAAAAAGGCCTTGGCCCTGAGCTGAGGCATGAATTCCATGTGGAGACCTGGAGAGCCATCAAGAGCCACTGTAGGAGTTTAAGCAGGAAGGGTTTTAAGCTCGAGTTTTTAAAAGCTCACTCTGTAACTTTGTGAGGAGCAGACTCAAGGGAACACAGAAGAGGCAGAGTCAGGAGGCTCTTGTCTTGAGTAACCCAGGCAAAAGGTGAAGATCTAAGCTGTGGCAGTGGTCACAAGGATAGAAAGGTCAGTGATGGCTGTGGGTTTTCTCTTTTTGGCTACATACAACACAACAGGGCAGAGCCTGGTTCATGCAGACTGGTGGGGAAATTTGGCTGCTGGGAGGAGGAGGAAAGGAGGTTGAATAGCTGATGGGTCAAGGATGGAGGAAGAGTGATGAGTGGAGCCTGAATAATGGAGGGTTACCATCTGCCTGGCTAGCAGAAGGATGGATGGATGGTCATGAATAGATGAGGGAGGGTAGATGCCTTTCTGGGTGAATTTTGAATTTTCACACAGACTTTGCAGCATGTTATCAGCGTATCCATCTTCTACACCAACTCTGTCACTGAGCAGCTAGGTCCTGAAGAGCTGCATTTCAGCTCCAGGAGTGAGCCTTGTTGCCCCTGGTCAGGCCATCCCAGACACTCATCTCAGGACTCCCAAGTGCCTGACTCCAGGTTGGGGAGGTCGCGAGTAGATGAACCCCTGTCTGTAAGTGATTTTCCATCTGGCTGCAGCTGCTGAGGGAGATGGTAGCTTCCCTCTAGAGCTGACTTCCTGTGAAAGCAAGATAAACAGGCTCATAACTTAAAACTTCAGGTTCCTGACTAGGGGATGATGTCTTTCAATCTCACTTTACCATCTGGAACTGAAACCAGAAATTGGCCTGAAGTCAGAGTAGACAGGGCCTGTACCAAGCCTGGAGTATTGAAGCCAAGGTCCTGTGGTTAAACTCCTTGGTGGCAGCAGTAAACAGTGATAGCTTGTGAACTCCATCACCAGGGGGCCACTGTCATCTTCCACTGGGGGCACGGGTCTACTGAAAGCTGATGAGGTTCATGTGGTGTGGAGGCAGAAAATGGCACAGGAGGTCTCTCCACAAAAGGAGTCATTATGGAGGCAAAATGTTCTTTGGCTGCAGCAAGCAGGTGGGGCTCCAAGCCAGCAATGTGGAGTGAGTCTTTAACTTGCTGGGCCAGTGCATGGGTGCCATCTTTGTTGGCCACCTTGTGGTGCACCTGATCGCAGTCTCCATTGATCCAGCAGATGCCAATGTTCGGGACAAGAGCTACACAGCACCTCTGCCCATATTTAACCGCAGTCAGCATGCACATGTCATAGAAGACCTGCACTGCAACCTGTGCGACGTGGATGTGTGAGTGCATGCAGGTGTGAGTGCATCGGTACACGTGGGTCATGAGTGTGCCTGCAGGTCTGCCAGCAGAGTCTGGGTGGAGGGGGCATTCCAGGCCTTCGCAGTCATCTCATCTTTTATGCAGGAGTCTTTTTTTAATTTTTTTATTTTATTTTTTTTAGTTTATTGGTACATTTTAGGTATGCAGTACAGTTACATTCATTACTGGGATCTTGTACCTTTACATGACAGGTCTTGGTTCTCATTTTTTCCCCTTGTCCCTGCCCTCCCTTCACCCCTTCCTCCCCTCCCCATTATGCAGGAGTCTTGATGGAGTTATGAGAACTAGTCTCTAAGAGGGTGAGGAGGTGATTAGGTGATTAGAAATAGATGAGGAACAGCATTTCCAACAGTTAAAGCAGGAAACATTGGCACTTCCACAGACATTGCTAGTGGTTAACTGCCACTGGCATCCCGCATCTCTCACAAGCACCCAGATAGATGTGGGTGGAAGGTAAATGTGTGAGTGCCCTGTGCACAATCCTCTGCCAGATGAGCAGCAGCTCTCTCCTTTTATAGAGGGAGAGGAGTCCACCACTCAGAAAGCTGGGAGGTGGCCCAAAGTCACACAGCTACTGAGCAGCAAAGCCAGGATCATAACCCTGGCTGTTTGGCCTAAGGAGATTCTTGGGTATCCTTGATTACCCATGAGAAGTCACAGGCCCAAAGAGGCAGAGTGACTTGTTCCACGTCACATGGCCGTTAGAAGTCAGAATGTGGAGCATTCATCCTGTTTTGGCAGGTCCCAGGGCTCTCTAAGGCTCCTTCTTACCCTTTTGGAGCATCCCCATCTCCCAGCCTCTGTGGAGAACAAGGGAAAGCATCACCCAAGGGCAGCCTCACACATCTGAAGATCCAGGCATCCCTCTAAAGGGGTCAGTCCACAGGAGCCAGAAAGCCCACAGCATTAAGGTGCTGAGGACCTAGGCACTAGGCCATTCTACCATTCCCTAGGCTCCAGTCAGCACTTGATTCTGAGTGGCTGCTCTGGCAGTTGCCCTCCATTATAGGGCTCTGGCCTGTTCTGGGGCAGGGGTCGTGCTCCACCTGTCCGCACTCCTTTGGGCTTTCCCTGGTGCCTCCTGGGAATGGGAGACTCCCACTGGCATCCTCAAGGGGCCTCACCTCAACTGACCTCTTGCGGTGAGCTCCCATAATCCCCACGCAGATGGCAGCTTGATTATTTCTTGGCTCCTTTCCGTCAGCCTACAGACAGGTTATCTGGAAGAATGCCAGTCAAATCTTTAGAACTGTAGGGAAACTGGCCCCCAAACAGAGATGTCACAAAGATGTCACACTTATGTTCCCCACCTCGTGCTTCGCGTCTTCTGACCTAGCTCGGGGTCCTTGATTAGAAAGGAAATCCCTTTTCCGATTTATACAACTGTCACCACTGTCATGTCCCCCCGCCCCTCCCACGCTTCCTTTCCTGGGTCCCCCTGCAGTTCCGAAGCGCCTTTGCCTCCAGGGACCTTCCCTTTAGTTCCACCAGAGGGCGCGCGTGTGTTCCTCCTCATCCTGCTTCGCTGTCCAGTGGAAGCGCCTTGTGGGCACCGTGCTCCTGGCTTGGCGCTGAAGTCCACAGACCACCGTATGCCTCACTGGGCTGGGCAGCCGCGAAGGCCGAGATGGGTTGGCCGACTGCGGTGCTCTCCGCCCACAGGAGCGCTCGCTCTAAGCACTGCAGCGCCTGCAACAAGTGTGTGTGTGGCTTCGACCACCACTGCAAGTGGCTCAATAACTGCGTGGGTGAGAGGAACTACCGGTGAGTGAGGGCCAGTGATGGCCTGGGGCTGTGGGGATGTGCAGCCTATTTGTAAGGTGGAACGGGTGGGGTACTTAGAGGACTGGGCGCTGGAATGCATCAGTGTATTCTCCTATGTGAGGGTGAACTGCCTGGGGTGCCGGCTGAGGATTGGCTAGTCTTCCACCTTGCTGTTCCAGAGAAAGGTGTGGAGCCTGATAGGTAACCACCAGCTTCAGTTTTGCCCTGTGACTTTGGTTTCAAAAGAGTTGGGGCTCTGGAGTCAGGGGCCAAGGTCCTCATCCTAGCTATGGGCCCTTCTAAGCTCCTGGCTCTTACTAAGCTGGAGCTCCTGGGTGCTGACAGCTGCCCATGGCTGGGCCAGGCTCTTTCTACACAGTGTGGCATCTGCTCTACTGGGTGTCCTGCTCCTGGTGCTGGTGGCCACTTATGTCTTTGTAGAGTTCTTTGTCAACCCTATGCAGCTGCGCACCAACGAACACTTCGAAGGTCAGTAAGTCCCAGACCCTCTCCCTCACCTGACTTTTCCTAGTCACTGGTCCCAGCTCTGGCTGAGCACAGGTCTGCCTGTGCCTTTTAGTCCTGAAGAATCACACAGATGTGTGGTTTGTGTTCTTGCCCGCTGCCCCTGTGGAGACCCAGGCTCCTGCCATTCTGGCCCTGGCTGCTCTACTCATCCTTCTGGGCCTGCTCTCCACAGCCCTGCTTGGCCACCTGCTGTGCTTCCACATCTATCTCAGTAAGTTCCTCCTCCCCCTACTGCCTTGCAGGGAATAGGGGACCCTAAATGGCAGGGAGGCACCTCATGCCCTTTATCAGTGCTGGCTCTCTGATGGCCTTATCCCATGGCTTAGTACATATGGAAAGAGTTTTCCCTCTGGGAGCTAGGTGCCTTCCTTCCCCTTCTGAGCTCCAATATCCCCACCCCACTGCTGACCTCTCTCCTCCCCCACCAGTGTGGCACAAACTCACCACCTATGAGTACATTGTGCAGCACCGCCCACCACAGGAGGCAAAGGGGGCCCAAAAGGAGCTCGAGTCATGTCCCCCCAAGATGCGGCCCATTCAGGTATACAGTGGCCCAGAGGACTGAGGGGGTGGGAGATGGGCCTGGGTGTGTGTGTGGAGGGGTGGACTGTGCAGAAAAAGCCAACGAAGAGATAAGGCAAGGAAAGCAACTCTGGAGTAACAGTGGAGCAGGGCATGCTGGGAAGTAGGGGACATGCCACCAGCACAGCCAGAGGGAGCCTGCATTTCTGTGGCCATGTATATGTCTGTCCAGGTTCCAGGCATGTGCTATAGAGAGCAGAATGTGGGAGCCCAGAAGCAAGCAGGGTGGAACTGCAGAAAAGAGGGATAAACCTATGGTCAGTGACTGGGTGGCCAAGATTGAGCCATCAGTTTCTCCATCTGTTACCTTGAGCTCTCATACCCACACTTAGAAGAGTATTGTTACTAACCCATATTGTGGATAAGCACATTGAGGTCTGGAAAGACTAAGCTGAAGCGTGGTCTGGGAAGAGTTAAGGTTTCCCCACACCAAAGCCTGAACCCTCCAACCCAGCTTGGGCCTGGCCAGCCCAGCTGCTGGTCAGCCTGTCCCCATTCCCACGCCTCATGGCTTCCTGAGGTCAGCAGCTGGGGGTGGAGGTGGTCCAATCCTCAGAGCCCCTGGGGACTGGGAAGGCAGGGGGCCCAGGCAAACTTTCCTGGGAAGGCCAAACCCTGGATGCCAAATCCTCATGGCAACTGGACACAAACACAGGCTAGTGGGTGGTTGGAAGAGGGCTTGGGACCCCGCCCCGCCTGTTCTCCTTGCCAGGCCTGGACCCTGCCTGTGGGCCAGGCTGGGGGAGCATTGGCAATAGGTGGAGACCCACCTGCCATATCCTCATACACCTGTCCTGGTATCGGTGTCATGCCTATCCCCACATCACAGAGGAGATAGAAGACTTTCTTAAGCTTCCCAGCTGTGTCAGTTGGGGCAGGGCTGGCCCTGGGATGCCCAGATTCCAGGACCTTATGTCCTTGCCTAGCTTAGGCTTTGGGGTCAACTGTGGCAGCAGTAAGAACATTTAATTTTATACCATCCATCTGCAAATGAGTTGAGGAAGGCCTACCTAGTAGGATCCAGTGCTTTACAGAGGAAAGAGCTGAAGGTGAGAGGGATCCCAAGGGACAACTATGAGGAAAACAGTTGTGAGTGGGGGCTGGCTGGTGACACTTTGAGACCTCCCCCTAGGTAGATCCTGGCTCCTTTTCTATCTTGGAGCCCAAGGGCCTCAGGGTTGGTTTTCCTCCCCTGCTACTGGGCCTAGGAGTGGTGCTGAGTCCACACCAGGGAGGGAAAAGATGGGAGGAAGCCCGTTGCGGTGGTGCACACCTGTAGTTCCAGCGACTCTGGAGCCTAGGGCAGGAGGATCATGAGTTGGGAGGCCAACCTAGGCGACATAAAAGATCCTGCCTCAAAAAAAAAGAGCAAAGGGGAGAATTTCCTTGACTGGCTCCTGTGCCTCTGCTTAGGCCAGTTCATCCACACCTCTCTCCAAAAGGTCAGCTTAGGCAGAAGTTGGGCACAGGGTTGGGGCCTCTGTCCTTGCACCTGTGTAGCCAGCTCACAACGCCTGGGCTCTGTCCCCGGTCCTCCAGAACGCCTGGGCTCCAGCAGGCAGCCTCCCTCCCCACCCCCACCCAGTAGGAATGCAGGAGCGGCCCCTCTCCGGAGCCGTTGCCCCCAAACATAGGCTTGTTTTAGAGACGGCTTTGCTGTTGCAGTGTCCTCTCTACATTAGTCAGGACGCCTCGGTCTCCATGGAAACGGCTGCCAAGCAGGCGACAGCTGTCCGGGTGCTCCCCTCTGCCCTGGCCCCGCCCCTCATTCTCTGCTCCACTCCTTGCCCAGGCTGCTTTTCCTGGCTTTTGTTTTTGTATCCTCACCTGCAGTACTCCGGTGTAGCTGAGGCTCGACCTGCTGCGGTGCAGGCCTAGCCTCTCTGGCTACTTCCCAGCCTCAAAGCTCCTTTGCTTTTGGGGTTGCATTTTGAGGATCTGGGATTGGTACCAGATGGGGGGCCGGGCACACTTACTTTGTTCCATCACTTCCTGCCTATTCTTTCTGCAGTGGGGCAGTAGAGACCGACAACACATTCATTTCCCCTTCCTAGCAGCTGTGTGTGTGAATGAGGGGCATGCCCAGGACTGCTCCAAAGGGTGCACACTTCTGCTTGTGAGCAGCTGTGTGGTCTCCCAGCTAGAGAGGGACCAGGAACAGGGAGGGCAGCCCTACCAGCCCCTTGGCTAAACTCTTCCCTATCAGCCCCTTGGCTGAGCAGCCCTAGCCTGGGCATTTTTGGACCCATGGTCTGGAGCCTTCCTGGAGGTGGAGTTTGACTAGATGAAAATGAAACCTGGGAGCCCGGCGTGTTGGCGCACGCCTGTAATCGCAGCACTTGGGAGGCTGAGGCAGGAGGATTGATGTGAGTTCGAGACCAGCCTGGGTTACATAGTGAGTTCCAGGTCAGTCTCAACTACTTAGCGAAACCCTATCTCAAAAAACCAACCCCCCCCCGCAAAAGGAAAATAAATGAAACCCGGGGCCCGGGTAAGGTCCAGAAATGAGTGTTTTAAGCCTCACTCTGCAGAGGGGTTTCCCCTGCACAACTGGGAAAGAAGATAGCTCTAGGCCCCTGTGGTGAGCCCTTCAGACCTCCCTCGGAGAAAGTTCCAGACCGAGCTGGGCTCAGGATTCCGGAGGCTCTGGATCTGCACCTGGCCTTCCAGTCTGCCTCCCCTCTTCCCCAGGAGATGGAGTTCTACATGAGGACCTTCAGCCACATGCGCCCAGAGCCCCCTGGCCATGCTAGGCCAGCGACAGTCAATGCTAAGTGAGTGCTACCTGGGCATGTGACACCCGGGCATTTCCCATTAGCATGGCAACCTCAGGGGTGGTAGTAAAAGGGTAGACTAAGGCCCAGACATGAGTCTTGTCCCTCTCTGTACTCTGCTAGGAAGGGACCTCCTGTGGGAAGGGATTTGGGAAACAGCACTCAGAGCTTGTCCTGCTTTTCCCTCAGTCCCTCCGGGTTTCTTGTCACACAAGACCAAGTGGAACCTCCAAGGTCCTCCCCGGACACTCTAGCCCTGCCTCCTGCTATCCGACCCCAGGTAGGAGGGGCTGGGCTTGGCCCTCTGCCTAGTGGAGGGAGATGGGAAGGAAGCCTCTACTCTGCTGACTCTTCTACTGATTTTGGCATTGTGGGTTTTGGGGAAGTGGCATTCAGACTCCCCCTCTGCCTCTGCAGAAAAAAAGGAAGCGACGGAGGTATAAGGTGCCGAGGACTGGGATCTTGGATCGGGAGTCCCCGCTCCCCAAGCTGCGGGGTGAGCCCCCTTCCCTGTATGGGTCCTACTTAGGGAGCTCCGTGGGAGGGAGGGAAAGGCAGAGGCCGGGGCAGTGACCCCTGGCCTCACGTTCCCTCCACTGTGCAGGGCCCCGGACCCCCGACCCGCACTCCAGCTCATCGACTGACAGCTCCAGCGCCAGCCCGG